GCGAGCGGGAGGTGAGCGTTCAGGGCCGGCCCGCTGGCGCCGCTGCTGGGGCGGGTGACCTCGGCTGGAAGGCGCCGACGTCAGGCGAGGCCGCCGAAAGGCAGAAGGACTGGTTCGCGGAGATGGTCGACGGTCGCCGACGCCGTCAAGGAGGAGGTCGCAGACGAGGGCATTGGGGAGGGCGTCGAGGAGGCGGGCGAGGTGCGGGATGACATGGAAGAAGTAGCGGAGGCAGGCTTCGACGGCAAGATCGCGGAGGCGGAGGTGGAGATCGAGGAAGCGGCGGGCGGGGAGGCGGGGGCAGCGAATGCAGCCGCGGAGGGCTTAATTCGACGACCGGATCGCGGAGGTGGAGATGGAAGTCGCGGAGGACCAGGACGTCGATGGGGAGGGCGAGGCGCGCGCGCGCGCGCCCGCCATCCCCGCACCGCCGCGCGCCCTGAAGCGCCCTCGTCGCCGCGGCCAGCTCTCCGACGCGTTGGACAGGAGAGGGGGTCGATCCAGCGACCGCTGCCGGCCCTGGAGAGCCCTCGTCGCCGCGGCCGGAATGCGGAGCCCAGCGGCGCAAACGCGAGCAGCGCGACGAACTCCGGCTGTGACGTCGCGAGCAGCGCGACGGACCCCGGCAACTCCTGCGTCTCAAAGGATTGCCAAGAGTAGCGACGCCCCCAGCGGGTCCACGGCTGGCCCCCCTGGATTGGGAGGTCAGGCCCCGGCGAGGCCCAGCCGCCCCCGGTCGGGAGGGAGCGCGATCGAACCTGGTGCCGCTGCTCGTCCCGGAGAGCCCACGTCGCCACAGCTGGACCCTTGGGGGGTCGGAATTCCAGGGGGGGCGGAGGAAGGGGGGGCCGGCGCCGCCGCGCGTCCTGGAGAGCCCTCGTCGCCGCGGCCAGCTCTCCGACGCGTCGGCACGGGGGTCGATCCCGCGACCGCTGCCCGCCCGGGAGCCCTCGTCGCCGCGGCCGGAATGCGGAACGCGGCAGCAAAACCGCGAGGAGCGCGACGAACTCCAGCCGCATCGTCGCGAGCAGCAAGGCGGACCCCAGCGGCTCAGTCGCGTCGCCCCACCTGGCTCGACAAAAAACACGTCGGCCCCGCCCCGGGCCGACGCGGGCACGCGTCCCATATCTCGGGGGTCTACTAACACGGGTCAATCAGACCCGGAGCAGCAGGAAACCAAAAACTGCAATGCGGGAGCCAAAAAGCTGCAACGCATGGCTTCGCAAACCCGGGTCAGCCAACATGCGCGGCCGCCTCGCGGCCAAGAGCGGCTCGCTAACCCGGGTCAGCCACAGGGGGTCTTCGCAGGATCCCGCGGGATCGCGCGCCCTGGATGGCCCCCGCTGGCATTGACCCCCGTCTCAAAGCCCCCGGACATCCAGGCATCTGCTCGAGACTGGGGGCGGAGGAGGCGCGGAGAACAGCGAGCGGCATCGCGATGCTGGACTGGACGGGGCCGCGACGGCCGGGCCGGGCGAAGGGGTGGGCCTCGGGCCCAGACCTGGCGCCGCTGGGAGGGCGGGGGAACCTGGCGCCTCATGTCACCCGGGCCTGGCCCCCCCAGAAGTGGACCCGGCGGGGGCGCCGAACAAAAAGTCGCCGCGACCAACGGCGCCCCCAGGTGCGGGCGTCGCGCGGGATATGCGGTCCTGCCAGCGCACGACGCGCCCGCAGGGCGGGACCCGCCCCCAGGCGGCCCCAGTCGCGCAGGCGAGGGCAGCGCGCAGCAGCAGCCAGGCGCGCACGGGGCGCGCGGCGGCAGGCAGCGGGACAGCGCTGCGGGAACGACCGATCCCCCTGGCTCGACCACAAACGTCTCCACCGGCGCCCCTTGGCCCCTGCGCTCGAGTGCTGAGCGCGGACGGCCAGGTCCACGCAGTGCCCCCGTCGCCGCGGCCTGCTTCTCGGGGCGACCGGGGCGGGGCGGGCCCCCCGGCCGTCGCTCGCCCCGAAAAGCTCGAACTCGTCGCCGCAGCCGGAAGGCGGGGCCCACGCGCGGAGCCACAGGCAGCCGGACAAACGCCAGCGGCGCCGCCGGGGGCGGGATGACGGACTCCGGCCGCGCGACCGCGAGCAGCAGGACGCACTCCAGCAGCAACATTTCGAACGGCACGACGAACCCCAGCAGCTCGACCTTGCGCTACGCGCCAGACTCCAGAAGCGCGACAGTGAGCAGTCAGAAGAACACAAGCACTGCAACTTGCAACCGCGCGCGGCCAGACGGACTCTGCTGGGCAGATCAAGCCGACGACAGCGACGCCGACGCCAACGCACCTGGACCCAACGCCCCATCCGACGCCACCGTCGTCGCCCAGCCCTGCACTCCCTTGACTCCCCCCCGACGGCGCCCCGACCAGCGCCCCTCGCGACGACGTCTCTCGCGGTTCCATCCCCGACGACGCCCCCGACGCCCCCGCCCGCGCCCGGCCCGCTGCCCCGTCTGGCGCCCCTGCCCGCCCCCTGCCCGCCAATTGGGGCGGCGCGCGGCGTCCGTCCTTGCAGCCCGCCGGGTCAGTGGCGCCAGCTGGCGACTGTGGGTCATCGCCGACATGCGAACCGACCGCCCGCCCCTGAGGCCCCTCGCCCGTCCCCAATGACGACGGCCGCTGGCGGCCCCAACACCGCGGGCTGCTCCGGCGCCAGCCCGCGAAGGGGAACACCTCTGCCTGCGCGGCGCGAGCCCCTGGCACTCGTCAAAAACACCTGGGCCGCAGCGCCAAACACCCGCGTCCGATGGGACTCGTTCGCCTCAGACTACAAGAAGCAGGGCAGGGGGCGGGCGCGTCCTGAGGATGTCCCAACACGGGCCCTGCCCGACTTCCTCAGCTCGAAGGGGGCCCTGGTGGCCCGGACCACGAGGATGCAGCAGATAGGCGGTGAACCTGGGACGGCCTGGCATAGGTTCTGCGCTCTGCGTGGCGGTGGCGCCCGCGACCCAAGCCGGCGCGACGCCACTTTCCTCCGCTGCTTCCTGTACTCAGAAGCACAAGAAACTGCACCAAAATGGTTCCCCTAGACCGGCCATGCGCTGTCCACCCCGGCAGCGCGTGGCCCCCAAGGGCCGTCGGCCATAGTTTGGGACGCCCGAAAAGGGTACGGAAGAAATTGGCACAGTGCCCGACAACAAATGTTGGCCCAAACCAACAGCGGCCGCTGTTGGGCAGGCGGCCTTCTGCCTCAAATGGACACAGGCCGCGGCGGCGCGGACAGCGAGTCCTGTTCAAAATGAGCAGGAACTGGCGTTGAGCATTGTACCCGTTCTTTCCGTGTCCACTTTGTTCGTGCAGGAGTTTCAACACAAGTAACTGCGCTAGTTTAGCGCCCCTAGACCGGCCATGCGGTGCTCACCCCGACAGCGCGTGGCCTCCACGGCCGCAGCAACGGCCACCCGCTGGGCAGTTGCAGCGCTGGCGCTGAGCCGCCTGGCGCCGACGCCACGCCTGCTGGGGGCTCCCCGCAGGCGGGGCGCTCCTCCTCCCTGTCCCCACTCTCCTTTCCCCCTGCGCCTTGTCCCCCCTCCCTCCGCGCGCCGCCATGGCGCCCACGCTGCAGCCGCGGCTGGCAGCTCCCCCCGCGCGGCGGTCAATTGCCGCCCTGCACTTCACCTCACGAGCCCAGCACTTGCTGGTGGCAGCCTGAAACCTGGACTGCTCGTGGACGTGCCGTACCCTGTAAACCCAGCCACCCACCTGGGCAACCACACGGCGCTTTTCCTGAAGTGCAAATATCTCGTCCTACTTCACCGACGGCGTCACTGCGGTGTTTGCCTTCTCGTACTGGGCCCCGTCATCGTCCGTAGGTGCCCCGGCGCTGCGGCCCGGCTGCTGCCATGGTTCCTGCTGACGGGGCTGGCCGCGCCAGCACGCTGAAGTCGTGAGTTTTCCGCCTCCGAGTGACCCCATCCTCCTCCCCGTTCCGCGGCCGCCGAATCCGTCCTTTCCCCTCTCCTGCACGCTGGTCAATTCGCTTCTCGGCGTCCCCTTTGAGCTCTATCGCTGGTACAGCCATTCTGCCCCGCCGCGGACGAAGAGATTGAAACGAATGTTCCCGGTGTTGGGGTGAGAACCTCGTTTTGACAAGAAACCGCCCTCCGTCCGTGAAACAATCACGCACTAACGAATGCGCGCGGCGCTGCGGCGAGAGTACCAGTTTACCAAAACGCCCATTCCATCCCTATGTGTCTCTCTCTCTCTATTTTTCGTTCTCTCTCTCTCTCTCTCTTTGTTGGTTTCTCTCTCTCTCTCTCTCTCTCTCTCTCTCTCTCTCTCTCTCTCTAGTTCCCCACAACCAAAATGGGTTTCTTGTTTTCTCTGCACACGCCGCGCAGGATCTCACCCCCCCCTTCCTTTTTCTCTCTCTCTTTCTCTCTCTCTCTCTCTCTCTCTCTCTCTCTCTCTCTCTTTGTCTCTCACACACTCACCATCATCACCATCATCACCACCATCAACCACCATCACCGCCATCACTACTCATCATCATCATCCTCATCATCATCGTCACCATCATCACTACTCTATCACCCGCTCACTCACTCAATTACTCACTCATCCTCAATAGGTTTCGGAGGCAGTGGTCCTCCGACGGTAGGACCGCCGCCTCTCTCAACATCATCGCCACCATCACCATCATCATGTCTCGATCACCCACTCAATGGTCATCATCATCATCAGCATCATCATCACTCACTCATCACTCATTCATCATCAGCACTCACTGACTCATCACTTCGTCATGAATCACTCCCTAGATTGAATATGGAGGAAGTATCAGGCGGGAGCCTCGTCGGTGAGTGAATTGCGAGGAAGTCTCAGGCGGGAGCCCCCTCCCTATGGGGCCGGCACTTCACGTTGGTAATCCGAGCGGGTCATCCGAAACGTGTAACTGTCGTCACTTTTGGGATCCTGAGGCCTGCCTATGGAGGAAGTATCATGCGGGAGCCTCGTCTGTGAGTGAATTGCGAGGAAGTCTCAGGCGGGAGCCTCCTCCCTATGGGGCCCGCGCTTCAAGTTGGTAATTCGAGCGGGTCATCCGAAACGTGTAACTGTCGTCACATTTGGGCTCCTGAGGCTTGAATATGGAGGAAGTATCAGGCGGGAACCTCGTCTGTGAGTGAATTGCGAGGAAATCTCAAGCGGGAGCCCCCTCCCTATGGGGCCCGCACTTCATGTTGGTAATCCGAGCGGGTCATCCGAAACGTGTAACTGTCGTCACTGTTGGGCTCTTGAAATATGAATATGGAAGAGGTATCAGGCGGGAGTCTCGTCTGTGAGTGAATTGCAAGGAAGTCTCCGGCGGGAGCCCCCTCCTCATGGGGCCCGCAAGCCATGTTACGAATCCGAACGGGTCATCCTGAAACGTGTAACTGTCATCACTTTTGGGCTCCTGAGGCTTGAATGTGAAAATTACTCCGACGGTAGGACCCCGCACGAGAAGCTGTTTAGCTTACCCTTTGCCCTTTCCTCCTCCCCCTGGCGGACACCCTCTCCTCTCGCCCCCTGCACTGCCCTCTCTTCCCCCTTCTATTTATCTTCCTCCTCCTCTTTCTCCTCATCCTCCTCCTCCTCCTTGTCCCTCCCCTCCTCCTCTTCCCCTCCTTTTCCCCCTCCTCCTCCTCTCCTCCTCCTCCTCTCCTCCTCCTGCCTCCTCTCCGTCCTCCTCCTCCTCCTCCTCCTCCTCCTCCTCCTCGCTTCCTCTCCTCCTCCTCCTCCTCCTCCTCCTCCTCCTCCTCCTCCTCCTCCTCCTCCTCCTCCTCCTCCTCCTCCTCCTCCTCCTCCTCCTCCTCCTCCTCCTCCTCCTCCTCCTCCTCCTCCTCCTCCTCCTCCCCTCCTCCTCCTCCTCCTCCTCCTCCTCCTCCTCCTCCTCTCGCGCCACCTCCTCCTCGTCGTCGGCCTCCCCCATGCCCCTTCCCTCCTCATCCCCCTGCCTTTTTTCCATGTGCACCTCCCCTTCCCCCTCGTCGGGGCAAACAAATCCATTTTCCTCAGCGCCGTCGCCGCCTCGGCCAGCGCCTCGGGAAGCGGGCCCCATAGGGAGGGGGCTCCCGACTGAGACTTCCTCGCAATTCACTCACAGACGAGGTTCCCGCTCGAGACTTCCTCCATATTCAGGTCTCAACAGCCCAAAAGTGACGACAGTTGCACGTTGCGGATGACCCGCTCGGATTCGAACATGAAGCGCGCGCCCCATAGGGAGGGGGTTCCCGCCTGAGACCTCCTCGCAATTCACTCACAGACGAGGCTCCCGCTCGAGACTTCCTCCATATTCAGGCCTCAAGAACCCAAAAATGACAACAGTTACACGTTTCGGATGACCCGCTCGGATTACCAACATGAAGCGCGGGCACCATGGGGAGGGGGTGCCCGCCTGAGACTACTTCCTCGCAGTTCACTCACAGACGAAGCTCCCGCTCGAGACTTCCTCCATATTCAAGCGTCAAAAACCCAAAAGTGACGACAGTTACACGTGTCGGATGACCCGCTCGGATTCGAACATGAAGTGCGGGCCCCAAAGGGAGGGGGCGCCCGCCTGAGACTTCCTCGCAATTCACTCACAGACAAAGTTCCCGCTCGAGACTTCCTCCATATTCAGGCCTCAAGAGCCCAAGCGTGACGACAGTTACACGTTTCGGATGACCCGCTCGGATTCGAACATGAAGTGCGGGCCCCATAGGAAGGGGACTCCCGCCTGAGACTTCCTCGCAATTCACTCACAGACGAGGCTCCCGCTCGAGACTTCCTCCATACTCAGGTCTCAAGAGCCCAAAAGTGACGACACATACACGTTTCGGATGACCCGTTCGGATTACCAACATGAAGCGCGGGCCCCATAGGGAGGGGGCTCCCGCCAGAGACTTCCTTGCAATTCACTCACAGACGAGGCTCCCGCTCGAGACTTCCTCCACATTCAAGCCTCAGGAGCCAAAAAGTGACGACAATTACACGTTTCGGATGACCCGCTCGGATTACCAACCTGAAGCGCGGGCCCAATAGGGAGGGGGCTCCCGCCTGAGACTTCCTCTCAATTCACTCACAGACGAGGCTCCCGCTCGAGACTTCCTCCATATTGAGGCCTCAAGAGCCCAAAAGTGACGACACTTACACGTTTCGGATGACCCGCTCGGATTACCAACATAACCGCGGGCCTCATAGGGAGGGGGCTCCCGCCTGAGACTCCCTCGCAATTCACTCACAGACGAGGCTCCCGCTCGAGACCTCCTCCATATTCAAGTCTCAAGAACCCAAAAGTGACGACCGTTACACGTTTCGGATGACCCGCTCGGATTCGAACATGAAGTGCGGGCCCCATAGGGAAGGGGGTTCCCGCCTGAGACTTCCTTACAATTCACTCACAGACGAGGCTCCCGCCTGATACTTTCTCCATATTCAGGCCTCAAGTCAGCGAGTAGTGATGATGATGATGCGGATGATGAGGATGATGATGATCGTTCGGTGCCGATGATGGTGAGTGGTCGTGCGATGGTGATGGTGATGTTGATGGGGATGATGATGATGAGTGGGGAGTGATGGTGATGGTGATGATGATGCGGAGGAGGAAGCAAAGAGGACAAGAGGAGAGGGAGGAGGAGGAGGAGGAGGACAAATCCTGCGCGGAGGGTGTGCAGAGAAAACAAGAACCCCACTTAGGATGTGGGGAATGATGATGATGATGATGATGATGATGATGATGATGATGATGATGATGATGATGAGTATCTGAGTGACTGAGCGTGTGAGAGAGCGCGAGTGATGATGCTGATGTTGATGATGAGAGAGTGTGAGTGAGTGTGAGTATGAGTGAGTGGTGATGATGATGAGTGAGTCAGTGAGTGTGCGAAGGCAGAAGAGGAGAGGGGGTGGGGTGAGGGTTCCTGCGCGGGGTGTGCAGAGAAAACAAGAACCCCACTTTGGACGTGGGGAAAGAAAGTATCGCGCGGGCGCCTCGTCTGTGAGTGAATTGGGAGGAAGTCTCAGGCGGGAGCCCCCTCCCTATGGGGCCCGCAAATCATGTTACGAATCCGAGCGGATCATCCTGAAACCTGTAACTGTCGTCACTTTTGCGCTCCTGAGGTTTGATTCCGGAGGAAGTATCAGGCGGGAGCCTCGTCTGTGAGTGAATTGCAAGGAAGTCTCAGGCGGGAGCCCCCTCCCTATGGGGCCCGCAGATCATGTTACTAATCCGATGCGGGTCATCCTGAAACCTGTAACCGTCGTCACTATTGAACTCCTGAGGCTTGAATATGGAAGAAGTATCGAGCGGGAGCCTCGTCCGTGAGTGAATTGTGAGGAAATCTCAAGCGGGAACCCCCTCCCTATGGGGCCCGCGAATCACGTTACGAATCCGAGCGGGTCATCCTGAAACGTGTAACTGTCGTCACTTTTGGGCTCCTGAGGCTTGAATATAAAGGAAGTCTCAAGCGGGAGCCTCGTCTGTGAGTGAATTGCGAGGAAATCTCAGGCGGCAGCCCCCTCCGGATGGGGCCCGCGCATCATGGGGCCCGCACATCATGTGGGGCATTCACTGCGGCGGCGTTCGGCTCAAGCGAGGCTGCGCCGAGGCCGAGGCGCGGGCGAGGAGCTTGCTCATGTTCAGGCCCAGCGAGCAGAAGCTCACGTGGCAGAGCTCGGGGGGCGCACACTGTGCGCCGCTCGGGGTTCACCCTGACGCATGCGTCCTACCTGACCTCCACGCTGTCGCAAGGCCAGACGCTGCGCAAGGGCGTCACCATCGACTGCGCCAGGGATGAGGACGCTGGCCGCACGGGCATGTCGGACGAGATGTGGTGGCTGCACCTCTACGTCATGTTCTCCCGCGCCACGTGCATGCGGAACATGCTGATCCTGCGGCCGCCCGCGCGAGAGTTCCTGGAGCGCGGGCCGCCGGCGTCCCTGCGGAAGGCGCTACTGGAGTTTGACAAGAGAGCGGTGGGCTCCAGGGCTGAGGCGGAGCAGCTCGCGGCAGAGCTGGGTTTCGTGCTGCCACCCACCTGAGCGCCGCGGCGCGCACCTGGAGGCCCGCGGGGTTGTCCCAACGGCTGGCTCCCGCGCCCCTGCGGCCTGCGAGGTTGTCCCAACGGCCTGGCCCGAAGCGTTGTCCCGACGGCTTCGCGATCTAGCCGTCGGCAAACGCGCGCGTGCTGGCCGACGCGGCGACGGCGCCTAGGAAAATCGAGCTGCTTGCCACGACCAGGGGGAACGGGAGGTGCACATGGAGAAGAGGCAGGAGGATGAGGAGGGAAGGGGCATGGGGGAGGGCGACGACGAGGAGGAGGTGGCGCGAGAGGAGGAGGAGGAGGAGAAGGAGGAGGAGGAGGAGGAGGAGAAGGAGGAAGAGAAATAGAAGGAGGAATAGAAGCCAGTGCAGAGGGCGAGAGGAGAGGGTGTCCGCCAGGGGGAGGAGGAAAGGGCAAAGGGTAAGCTAAACATATTCTCATGTGGGGTCCTACCGTCGGAGTAAGTGTTTTCTCTTTGTCTCTCTCTCTCTCTCTCTCTCTCTCTCTCCATGCTTATTTCTCTAAATACAAATATGTATGTATGTATGTATGTATGTATGTATGTATGTATGTATGTATGTATGTATGTATGTATGCATGCATGCATGCATGTATGTGTGTACATCTGTATCATGTGCGCGGCGCAAAAAAAAAGAAGAGAGAACATGATGGACCCACGAACCCGGAAAGGGATATAGACATGCGCAGCATGGTCACGTTTTCACGATACCCAACTGGGCGACACCTCACAAAACATCCCACGAGACACCCCGCGAAACATCCCACGAAACACCTCGCGAAACATTCCACGAGACACCTCGCGAAACGTTCCACGAGACACCCCGCGAAACATTCCACGAGACACCCCACGAAACATTCCACGAGACACCCCACGAAACATTCCACGAGACACCCCACGAAACATTCCACGGGGGTGCGACTGGGTGTGGTCGTGCTGGGGTGTGGTCTTGCTGGGGTGTGGTCGTGCTGGGGGGGTGGTCGTGCTGGGGGGTGGTCGTGCTGGGGCGTGGTCGTGCTGGGGCGTGGTCGTGCTGGGGCGTGGTCGTGCTGGGGTGTGGTCGTGCTGTGGTGAGGTCGTGCTGGGGTGGTCCGCACCCTGTGATTTAGCACCGCGAGCAACGACAGGCAACCACTCAACCAGGACAACCACGAGGAGACGCGTAACGCACGCAACGGTACGGGCGCCACTCATCAAACACACAGGGAGTCCGTGGCTGCATCGGTTGAGTGGTTGCCTGTCGCCGCCCCCTGGGCGGATCCCCCTCGTAGTCGTCGTCGTCGTCGTCGTCGTCGTCGTCGTCGTCGTCGTCGTCGTCGTCGTCGTCGTCGTCGTCGTCGTCGTCGTGCGTGGGAGGTGGTCGTGCTGGGGAGTGGTCGTGCTGGGGCGTGGTCGTGCTGGGGCGTGATCGTGCTGGGGTGTGGTCGTGCTGTGGTGAGGTCGTGCTGGGGTGTGGTCGTGCTGGGGTGTGGTCTTGCTGGGGTGGGGCCGTGCTGGGGTGGGGTCGTGCTGGGGTGTGGTCGTGCTGGGGTGTGGTCGTGCTGGGGTGGGGTCGTGCTGGGGTGGGGTAGTGTTGGGGTGTGGTCGTGCTTGTCGTGCTGGGGTGTGGTCGTGCTGGGGTGTGGTCGTGCTGGGGTGGGGTCGTGCTGGGGTGTGGTCGTGCTGGGGTGTGGTCGTGCTGGGTCTTAGCACCCCTGTGACACCGGGCGCCTCGGGAGAATCGTCCCCCTGGAGAGGGCGAATCTATAGGCACATACGTAACAAAGCAAGCGTTTCGCTCGAGACATCCTCGGCAAACTCTGCGGAGCAAGCGTTTCGCTCGAGACATCCTCAACGCACGAAAAAGTGGCCCGCACCCTGTGATTTATCGATCAGGATTTCAAAAACAAGCGTTTCGCCTGAGACATCCTCAAATTTTAATCCGCCGGCCTCCTTCGACCTCGATATTTATCAGGGAAAGAATCCGCCGGCCTCCTTCAAGTTGGGCACGGGGAGCATTGTTTACATACTAAAAGAGAACCCTGGGCCTACGCCCTTTCCGGGAACATGTTGAAAAACCGTTCCCCATCCATCCGTGAAAGAGTTACGATCTTTGAAACGGATGTGCGCGGCGCTAAGGCGAAAACCAACCACATGTTGAAAGCGCCTCCTATCCATCCGTGAAGCTGTTGGAAGCTCCAAAGACGAATGTGCGTAATTCTAAAAAGCCAACCACATGCTGAAAACGACCCCCTGTATCCGTGAAGCTGCTGCAAACTTCGATAACGAATGTGAGCGGTGCTAACGCGAGAGACCTATTTTGAAAACGCTCCCCCCCCCACACCATCAGAGAAATTGCAATTATCATGTTTCAGGATCACATTTGGTGAGGACGACTCAGGCGAAACGCACTGACCGCCTTCCTGACACGTCCTGGATGAGAAAAATAAACAGGGAGGAGGAGGAGGAGGAGGAGGATGAGAGGGAGGAGGGAGGAGGGAGGCGGAGGAGGAGGCCCCCAGGAAGGCCTGCTGCCTGGTGTCTAAGAACGTGGAGTAGAAGCGTCGCACGCGCTCCTGTGCGGGAAGCTGGGCTGCTTGGCGCTGTCGCCGCTTCTCGCCGTCAACCCTCCTCCTCCTCCTCCTCCTCCTCCTCCTCCTCCTCCTCCTCCTCATCATCATCATCATCATCATCATCATCGTCATCATCATCATCACACACCACCATCATCAGCATCATCATCATCAGCATCAGCATCAGCATCATCATCATCATCATCATCATCATCATCATCATCATCATCATCATCATCATCATCATCATCATCATCAACAGCATCATCAATCATCATCATCATCATCATCATCATCATCATCATCATCATCAGCATCATCCTCTACGGTCTCTCCCTCTTGTTCCCAAGCCTCCTGCGTTGGTTTCTCGTTCTGAAGTAGGGTACTGCGGTCGCACACCTTCTGGTTCCCCCGCCCTCTCCTCCCCCCCCCCCTCCTCCTGCCTCCTCCTGCGCTGCTCCCAGGGCGGCCGTTATGCAACTGTCGCCACTTTCGTGGGTTCCTGGGAGGCACGGCGGAATCGGGGAGTAAACGGACCCAGCCGAGACCTCGCTGCTTCCTGGGTGGCTGCGAACTGCGCATCTGTCGCCACTGTCGTGGTCTCCTGGGAAGCACAGCAGTCGGGGAGTGACGGACCCAGGATAGACCTCGCAGCTCCCTGGGGGGGGGCTGCGAACTGCGCAACTGTCGCCACTTTCATGGGTTCCTGGGAGGCACGGCGGAGCAGGGGAGTACCCGAGACCACGCTGCCCCTCCAGGAGGTTGCGAACTGCGCATCTGTCGCAACTTCGTTGGTTCCTAAGAAGTCCAGCCGGGTCGGGGGCCACGCGCACCCATTTGAGACCTCGCTGCTCCCTGGGTGGCTGCAAACTGCGCATCTGTCGCCACTTTCGTGGGCTCCTGGGAGGCCCAGCGGAGACGAGGGCCACGCGGATCCACACGAGACCTCGCAGCTCCCTGGATTCGTGGGCTCATGGGAGGCACGGCGGAGATGAGGGCAGCCATGCTTATGCATGTCTGGCGACGTGTCCCTTTGTATGGAGCGTGGAGAAGGGTTGAGTACGACTCGGGTTATTGTCTTTCTCCTCCTGTTGCCCCCCATACTCCTCCTCCTGATTCTCCTCCTCCTCTTCATGTTGTCCTCATCACTATTAAGCCCTCAATATGAATGTTTTTCGTATTCGTCCTCCTCCAGTCATTATGAGTACTTATGTTATACAACTTAGTGACATCAATACTACCGCTACTACTACTACTACTACTACTACTACTACTACTACTACTACTACTACTACTACTACTACTACTACTACTACTACTACTACGCCGACTACTACTACTACTACTACTACTACTACTACTACTACTACTACTACTACTACTACTACTACTACTACTACTACTACTACGACTACTACTACTACTACTACTACTACTACTACTACTACCACTACTACTACTACTACCTAGTCCTACTACGACCACTACTACCACGATCACTACCACTACGACTATCACGACGACGACTACTTCTACTATTACTACAAATATTTTTACTCCTACTACTACTACTACTACGACGACTACTACTACTACTAAAATTACTCATACTACTACTACTACTACTACTACTACTACTACTACTACTACTACTACTACTACTACTACTACTACTACTACTACTACTACTACTACTACTACTACTACTACTACTACTACTACTACTACTACTACTACTACTACTACTACTACTACATACTACTACATACTACTACATACTACTACATACTACTACATACTACTACATACTACTACATAGTACTACTACTACTACTACTACTACTACTACTATTAGTACTACTACACTACTACTACTACTACTACTACTACTACTACTACTACTACCTGTCTTACTAAACTAATCTACTACTTCTACTACTACTACTACTACTACTACTACGACTACTACGACGACTACCCTTTCTTTCTCCGCTACTCCTCTACTACTACTACTACTACTACTTACTACTATCACTAACGACTACTACGACTACTACACTACTAACGCCTACTACGACCTACTACGACTACTACTAACTACCACTATGGAGGGAGGGGGATTACTACTACTACTACTACTAAAAAACTACTACTACTAAACTACTACTACTACTACTACTACTACTACTAATACTACTATTACTATTACTACGACTACTACTACCAAGCCTAATACTGCAATAATAAAACTAAGTGTTCTGAATATCCATATGTCATTAATATTCGTACGAATACTAACATCACTACTTCCAAGTGTTACTCTTCATTCCTCCTACTCCTTTTCGCCGCACGCCAGCTCTCATCTCTATCTCGGTCTTTTTCTCTCTCTCACTCTCCCTCCTCCACCCCTCTAGCCCTTCCTTATCCTCCTCTCCCTCCTCCTCCACCTCCTCCTCCTCCTCCTCCTCCTCCTCCTCCTCCTCCTCCTCCTCGACCTCCTCCTGTTCCTCCTCCTACTCCTCCGCCTCCGAATCCGCGACCCTGGCACGAACCACCTCTAGGGACTAATGGCCACGGGTGCCAGGCGTGTCGGCCAACCGTCGAAAACGAACCACTCAGCACCCAGGCAAAATGCGATAGCCCACCTGGGCACCGGCGACAGGGCACACCCACTCCTCGTTTCTCCTCCTCGTCTTCCGTTTCTTCGTTCCTTCTCCTCCTCACCCTCTTTCCTTTCCTCCTCGTGCGCCGTCCGCCTCTGAGGCCCAGCTGAATTTGCGGCATTTGGGCACGGCGGAGCTCGCACCCGATCTCGGCAATCTCGACACGATCCGCAGCAGCGTGGGCCCCCTCCCCTTCAGGCCTGGTGCAGGTGACGCCACGAAAGCCCTCGGACGGCAAGCCACTCGCTGCCCATGAAGGCAACCCAAGCCACCCCAACACCCACCACGTCACATATCACAGTTTCAGAGTTTCTCTTTGGGGCCTGCGGCCCGACGCCCGCCGTCGGCCGCTCGTGCCCCAGGCGAGGCCCCTTGGAAACTTGCAGAGAACGCAGACGCCGAGGCGTGGCGGCGCATGCTGGCAGTAAGAAACATCAGGCTGGTTCGAAGGCGCGGACAGCGGTGGCGGCCCCTGGCCAAGGCCGAGGGCGGCCAGCGCCGACATGGCAGACCGTCCCATCCCTTCCTCGCCCCTCTCGCGATCTTCACGACCCATGCGCTTCCCGCACGGGCGGGCCCAGGAGACGGTTGGAGGGAAGCAGGGCAGAAACCTGAAGGGAAAAGGAGGGCCGGGAGCGCGGGGAAGGCCGCGAAGGCGCGGCTCACCTCCTCCCCCTTCCTCCTTCCTCCTCCTCCTCCTCCTCCTTCTCCTTCCTCCTCCTCCTCGTCCTCCTCCTCCTCCTCTTCCTGATGTTCGCCGCTTTCCTCCCCCAAGTGTTCCCTGAAAAAGGTTTCCTTAACGGTTGGGGGAACACATGGTCCGATAGTTCGGCAGAGCTCTTGCCACAACGCTCGGCCACATGGGCGATTCCAACAGGCAGGGTGCGGCGGTGATTCGCCGTAGGCGTCTTCGGTAGCATGCTAGAAAACGCTGTTTGGGGTCCACCCTGGCTAACATGCAAATCTTGTGGCTCGACTATCGCACGTCAAATCGTTCGTCGTCGTCGTCCGTCGTCGTCGCCGCCTGTCATTAATCGTCATGGTCGCATGTCGTTCGCCGCCGCCGCCGTCGTCGTTACCGCCGCCGCTGTCGCCGCCGCCTGTCGTTCGCCGACGTCTCGTCGTCGTTCATCGCCGTCGTCGCCTGTCGTTCGCCGCCGCCGTCGTCGTCGTTCATCGTCGTAGCCGTCGTCGCCGCCGTCGGCGGTGGCGTCGCCGTCGCCGTCGTCGGCGGCGGCGCAAAGAGCGTGGCTCCTGCTCGGCAACCTCCGGGCAGCCCACCAGCCCGCGTTCCGCCGCGTCGGCGCCGCCGTCGTCCCAGTCGCACCAGGGCCCTCCTGCGCACAGGAGCATCCGATCACCGAGCCTTCCAAGGGACGGGAGGGAGAGGCGGGAGGAGGAGGGCGACGGAAGAGGGAAGAGGTCGATCGGACGGAGGCTGGGACGCTTAGTCGTGCTCTGTTCAGTTGGTTGAGGATTTATGCCTTTTGATGGCCCCGTGGGGCCACGGAGCCCACGGGACAGGTAAACTGAAACATGATGGACCCACGAACCCGGAAAGGGATATAGACATGTGGAGCATGGGCACGTTTTCACGATACCCAACGGGGCAACACCTCACGAAACATCCCACGAGACACCTCACGAAACATCCCACGAGACACCTCACGAAACATTCCGCGAGACACCTCACGAAACATTCCAGGAGACACCCCGCGAAACATTCCACGAGACACCCCACGAAACATTCCACGACGACAGGCAACCACTCAACCAAGGCGGTGTGGTCGTGCTGGGGAGTGGTCGTGCTGGGGTGTGGTCGTGCTGGGGGGTGGTCGTGCTGGGGGGTGGTCGTGCTGGGGGTGGTCGTGCTGGGGCGTGGTCGTGCTGGGGCGTGGTCGTGCTGGGGCGTGGTCGTGCTGGGGCGTGGTCGTGCTGGGGTGTGGTCGTGCTGTGGTGAGGTCGTGCTGGGGTGTGGTCGTGCTGGGGTGTGGTCTTGCTGGGGTGGGTCGTGCTGGGGCGTGGTCGTGCTGGGGCGTGGTCGTGCTGGGGCGTGGTCGTGCTGGGGTGTGGTCGTGCTGTGGTGAGGTCGTGCTGGGGTGTGGTCGTGCTGGGGTGTGGTCTTGCTGGGGTGGGTCGTGCTGGGGTGGTCGTGCTGGGGTGGTCGTGCTGGGGCGTGGTCGTGCTGGGGTGTGGTCGTGCTGTGGTGTGGTCGTGCTGGGGTGTGGTCGTGCTGGGGTGTGGTGAAGTCGGGATTTCAAAAACAAGCGTTTCGCTCGAGACATCCTCAAATTTTAATTCGCCGGCCTCAAAAACAAGCGTTTCGCTCAAGACATCCTCAAATTTTAATTCGCCGGCTCGTTATTTATCATGGAAAAAATTCGCCGGCAATTCGCCGGCTCGTTATTTATCAGGGAAAAAATTCGCCGGCAATTCGCCGGCTCGTTATTTATCAGGGAAAAAATTCGCCGGCCTCCTTCAAGCAGGCACCGGGGGACAGGTTTACCTACTAAAAGAGAACCCTGGGCCTACGCCCTTTCCGGGAAAAACGAATTACCCTTCTGGCCACAAGATGGCCTCGAAGTGCAAGGGCGCAATGCGAATGCGCTTGCGCTCCTTAGCCTCTGCACAATTCTTGCGGACACGCGCAAGCCGTTCAGGCGTAAGCTGCACACTCGGAGGGGGAGGAGGAGGAGGAGGAGGAGGAGGAGGAGGAGGAGGAGGCAGCACGAGAGCCTCACCTGAGGCAGGGCCAAAGTCGGGGCGGTCCACGCCCATCTCACTGGCGGCCTCATGGTCCGCGTCGACGTCGAAGGCACCCTGCGGCCAAGGATCCTCGGGAGCCTCGGACGGGAGCGCCACCGGCTACCTCCTGGAGCCCACAGAGGCCACGCGGTGGGAGGCAAGGGTGGGGGAAAGGGGAGGAGGCGGGTCGGGAGGGCCCCAACGCCACCTCGGGATCGGATTTACGTTTGTCTCCCTTCTGGCCGGCAGTCGGGTGCCTCCCAGAACTGCTCGGACTCTGACCACGACGCGAAGAATCTCCGTATGAGAGCGTCATCGAAATCACACGCAGCGGGGTCATCAGGCGGAGTAGCACCGTCGTTATTAGGGTGGGCGGCAGAGACAGCATCGAACATGGCTCGTGCTCGGGCAAATCGCATGGATGGAGGGCACGTATTTTCGCTGCTCGTTCTGAAGGTACCGTTGTCGTTCCGACAGGGACTTTGTGCGCACCCTCCCATGATTACAGAAGCCCTGATGTTAGCCTTGAGTAGGCCACGTAGCGTAGGTAGGCGAAGAGCTAACATAGGAGCGGCACCTCTCCCTTGAGTCTGCCGGTCATGCATTGATCGCAACAGATAGTGCTGACCTGCGGGCAACGTTCTAAAGACAAAAAGGGCCACTGGAAACTCGATGGCGCTTGCGGTCGCCAATGGGCCTGCGGCGGATGCTCTAGCCAGCCACATGTCCCAGCTCGAACGTGTTCTGCCAGCAACGGGGTGATGGCGAAAAGCAGCAGTCTCACAGGGGGGACCTCCCCCCGTGACCCAAACCTGGTGCTGTCTGATATGGGTGGCCCACTCATCGATCGTGGCCTTTCTGGTGAGATCCCCCATCGCGTGATCTGTAGCTATGTCCAGCGATAATGCCGCGATCACGATGTCCGCTGGGGCCTGCAAATCTGACAGAAACCATTGGACGCCCCCTTCGCGGCGGCTGCCGCAGAAGAAATTCAAAATGACAACTCCAGGGCGCATGGTGCGATAGGGCTGTGCCTCCGTCCCGATACTTACGTAGTCGCTCGGCCTGAAAATGTAGTACATGTCCGCATATTGTACCTGTGGTAGTCAGTCCCCTTAGCGTGCCTCCTTGGAGTCCTGCCAGGCCCGTTGGAGAGTCGGAAGTGCCTCTCGAATGATCTGGCAGTGGGCCTCTTGAAGAACCTGCCGAGCCTCGTCCTCGGAGAAATGCGAGAAAACCACAGCGGCCTCCCAGATGGACCCACTGGTGCTTGTGGTAGCTGGGTAAGCAGATCTCCATTTGCCCAGTCCATCTCCTCTTTTCTTGGCGCAACGGCGGCGATCTTCATCAGCCGCGTGTGCTGCTGCCCCAGGTGGCCGCTGTGGGCCATGGCACATGTGAGACAGGCAGCACCTCGCTGAGTCATATGTTAGATGATCTCTAAGCTGCCAGCGCGACCCGGAATCCGCACTGCGTGCCCTGCACTCCGTTCCCTCACCCACGAAACGATCCACCTGAGCAACCAATCTGAAGTGGTTCTGAACCACATGCTGTCGGAGAGCCTTGGGTCCGCCGAATTGAGCTGAGCACCGCGGACAGACAAATGGAGCCACGTCGGCGGCCTGCGCCCGGCAAAGGGGGTGGTCGGGATGTGCGATGGGCAGCGGGAACTTGCAAGGCAGCGCAATTCTGAAAAATCCGCCGGCCCCAGAAGGCGTGCGCGATCCTTCCTGGCCCGACACTGCGCCCCCACCCCTCGGAAGCTCTTTTCTCGGACCCCCCCACTCCACAATTTCGCGCCTGGAACCGACCCACGCCCTCCTCCTCGCCTCGGCATTCCCACCCCTCGGAAGCACCATAATTCCACACCCGGAACCAACCCGCGCCCCCCTCTTCGCCTCGGCATCCACACCCCTCGGAAGCTCTGCCTGGGACCCCGCACTCCGCAGAATTCGCGCCCGGAACCGACCGACGCCCCCCTCCTCGCCTCGGCACCCCCACCCCTCGGAAGCTCCGACGCCCCCCTCCTCGCCCTGGCATCCCCACCCCTCGAAAGCTCTCCTCTTGGGCTGCCTCTCCCCACACTTTCGTGCTTGGAACCGACCGACGCCCCCCTCCTTGCCCCGGCATCCCCACCCCTCGAAAACTCTCCTTGGGACGTCCCATCCCGCAATTTCGCGCCTGGAACCGACCGACGCCCCCCTCGCCCCAGCGCCCTCGCCCCTCGGAAGCTGTCTTCGCAAGACCCGCCACCGCTAGGACCCCCCACCCCACAATTTCGCGCCCATAGCCAACCGACGCCCCCCTCCTCGCCCTGGCATTCCCACCCTTCGGAAGCTCTCTTCTTGGGGCCCCACACCCGCAACTTCGAGCCCATAACCAACCGACGCCCCCCTCCTCGCCCCGGCATCCCCACCCCTCGAAAGCTCTCTTCCTGGGACTCCCACCCCGCAATTTCGCGCCTGGAACCAACCGACGCCCTGGGAAGCTCTCTTCTTGGGACCCCCCACCCCGCAACTTCGCGCCCGGAACCGACCGATGCCCCCCTCCTCGCCCCGGCATCCAAACCCCTCGAAAACTCTCTTCTTGAAACCCCCACCCACAATTTCGCGCCCGGAACCGACCGGCGACCCCATCCTCGCCCCAGCACCCCCACCCCTCGGAAGCTCTGTTCTTGAGACCCCCAAACCCGCAACATCTCGCTCTCGCCCCGGCACCCCCACCCCTCCGAAGCTCTCCTTGGGACCCCCCAACCTTACAATTTCGCGCCCGGAACCGACCGACGCCCCCCTCTTCGCCTCGGAATCCCCACCCCTCGGAAGCCCTCTTCTTCGGACCCCCCACCCCACAATATCGCGCCCCTCCTCGCCCCGGCATTCCCATCCATCGGAAGCACTCTGCCTGGGACCCCGCACCCCACAACATCGCCCCCGGAACCGACCGACGCCCCATTCCTCGTCCCGGCAACCCCATCCCTCGAAAACTCTCTTCTTGGACCCCCCCACTCCACATTTCGCGCCTGGAACCGACCGACGCCCCCCTCCTCACTCCGGCATTCCCATCCCTCGGAAGCCCTCTTCTTGGGATCCCCAGCCCACAATTTCGCGCACGGCACCGACCGACGCCACCCTCCTCGCCCTGGCATCATCCCCACTCCTCGGAAGTACTCTTCTTAGATCGAGACGAGAAAGAGCGCGTCCCGAGGAAGACGGGTCCTGGACCCCAGGACCAATTCTTCATCCCCAGTCGTTTTCCGACAGTACCGTGGCCCGTGGAGGGCACCTGGAAGCCAAAAGCGGAGAAGAAACTCTGGACCCCTTTCCCCTTAGGGCCACTTTACCTCAGGACCTCTATCCTTCATGGCGATCCGATCCTCGCTCCGCATCGTCGAACCTATCCCCATCCCCGTAGGGCCATGGTATCTGGGCCTCCCCAGCCCACTCTCCCAGGCAGGACAGCTCTGAATCGAATCGATGTCAGGTCGGCCAAAAACGGCAGCCAAGTCGGGAGAAGTCGAATCGGCGGAAATCGGCAGGCCAGTAAGGTCCCCATTCAGAAATCAGAATCCAAATTGGAATCCGAAATCGAATCGAATCGGAATCGGAATCCATCGAAGTCGAATCGAATCGTATCGGGTGAGTCGAAATGAGCCCTTCCCAGGTGGGGACAGGCCAGTGAAACCCGAAGGGACAGCAGACATGTTCCCGGGTCGAGGGCTCATGCCCACCCCACCCCCAGGTGGGATGGGCCCCAGGGTTCCACAGCGAAGGGGGTCCCTCGATCCCAAACGCATTGGGAAGGGGGGGGGGCGGGGGGCAACCCTGGATCATATATGATCCCGGGTCGAGGATTCACGGGCCCCCCCCGACGGCATGGGCCCCAAGGAGCCCCACGGGCGCCAGCTCCCCAAGTAGGATAGGGGAGGGACGACACGACGACGACGACGACGACGACGACGACGACGACGACAACGACGACGACAACGACGACAACGACGACGACGACGACGACGAAGACGACGACGACGACGACGACGACGGCGGCGGCGGCGGCGGCGGCGGCGGCAGCGGCAGCGGCAGCGGCGGCAGCGGCAGCGGCAGCGGCGACGGCGGCGGCAGCGGAAGCGGAAGCGGAAACGGAAGCGGCACCGCAGCAACACCCCAAACCCACACCCTACACTCACATGGGCCCCGGAGCCCTGGATCATTTCAAGACTGTGGCTCCCTCCGATCATCACGGTCATCTCGCTTCTCAATTCGATCCTCTCGATCATCTCGATCCTCTCGGTCCTCCGCTCTTCGATACTCGCCCCTCGAGCTGCCTGGGAGTCCTCGCGCCGACCCGCCTTTGGGTGTGGGGTGGTTCTGCGGTGCGGTCTTCGTCGTCGTCGTCTCGTCGTCGTCTCGTCGTCGTTGTCGTATTCCGTCGTCGTCGTCGTCGTAATTGTCGTCGTCGTCGTCTTCTGCCATCGTCGCGTCGGTCGTCGTCATCTTCTGTCGTCGTCGTCGCCTTCGTCGCCATTTCCCGTCGTCGTCGTCGCCGTAGTTGTCGTCGTCGCCGTAGATGACGTCGTCATCTCGTCGCCGTCTCATCGTCGTCTTCTGTCGTCGTCGTCTTCGTCCGCGTCGTCGTCGTCGTCGTCGTCCCCTCCCCCCTCCCTATCCGATCTGGGGGGGAGGGCCTGCGGGCCCTGGGACCCATCACATTCGGGGGGGGTGGCCCGGGAACACTCGAATCAGGTATCCCCACCTAGGTGGGCAAGTCGGCCAGTGGGGCCACGGCCACGCCAGTGGAGATAGCGATCGGTTAAACGATGCTCAGAGCGACTCGAACCTCGTGGCTTCGAGGCACAAGATTGCCAGGAGTGATTTCCTTCTCCGGGTCCTCTCGATCCTCGATCCTCTTCTCGATCCTCTCGCTCCTTTCGCTCCTCTCGCTGATCGGATCAATCTTCTCGATCCTCTAGGTCCTCTCGCTCCTTGACTCGATCCTCTCGATCCTCTCGATCCTCTCGATCCTCTCGATCCTCTCGATCCTCCCGCTCCTCGAATCATCCTCTCGATCCTCTCGCTCCTCGATTCGATCCTCTTGATCATCTAGGTCCTCTCGCTTGTCGGTTCCCCCTCGATCCTCGCCCCTCGAGCTGGCCAGGAGTCCTCGCGCCGACCCGCCGCCGAGGCCGTTGGTGTCGACCGCGGGGCCGGCCCGCCTGCGCGCGTACTGGGGGGGAGGGCGCATCATCATCATCATCATCATCATCATCATCATCATCATCATCATCATCATCATCATCATCATCATCATCATCATCATCATCATCATCATCATCATCATCATCATCATCATCATCATCAGCATCAGCATCATCATCATCATCATCATCATCATCATCATCATCATCATCATCATCATCATCATCATCATCATCATCATCATCATCATCATCATCATCATCATCATCATCATCATCATCATCATCATCATCATCATCATCATCATCATCATCATCATCATCATCATCATCATCATCATCATCAGCATCAGCATCATCATCATCATCATCATCATCATCACCATCATCATCATCATCACCATCATCATCATCATCATCATCATCACCACCACCACCACCACCACCATCATCACCATCATCATCAGCATCATCAGCATCATCAGCATCATCATCATTATCATCATCATCATCAGCATCAGCATCAGCATCATCATCAGCATCAGCATCATCATACATCATCATCATCAGCATCATCATCATCATCATGATGAACATCATCATCATCATCATCAGCATCATCATCATCATGAACATCATCATCATCATCATCATCATCAGTATCAGCATCAGCATCAGCATCAGCATCAGCAGCATCATCATCATCATCAGCAGCAGCATCATCATCATCAACATCGTCATCATCATAATCAGCATCATCATCATCAGCATCATCATCAGCATCATCATCAGCAGCATCACCATCATCATCAGCAGCATCATCAGCATCATCGTCATAATCTGCATCATCAGCATCATAAGCATGTGCATCTTGCTCTTCATCTTCATCATCATCAGCATCATCACGATCATCATCGGCATCATCATCAGCATCAGCATCATCATCATCAACAACATCAGCAGCATAATCAGGATCATGGGTATCATCACTTCTTCCTCCTCCTCCTCCTCCTCATGATCATTCTCCTCTTCCTTCTCCACCGTGTCCTCTCGTTCTTCCATGTCCTCCCTCTGTTCTCCTCGTCCTCCTGCACCTCCTCGTTCCCCTCCTCCTCATCCTCCTTATCCTCCTCCCCATCGTCATCACCAGCATCATCATCATGAACACCATCCTCATCCTCATCATCCTCATCATCAGCATCATCATCATCAGCATCATCATCATCGTGAACAACATCGTCAATCACTATCACCCTCACCATTATTAGCATCATGACCGCCATCGTTACCATCATCATGAGCATCATCACCATCACCATCATAACCGTCGTCACCATCATGACCATCACCAGTAGCATCACTATCACCACCACAATCATCATCACCAGCAGCAGCATGATCGCCGTCACCATCGCCATCCGCAGCATCATCATCATCATCATCACCATGAGCATCACCATCACCATCAGCAGCAGCAGCATCAACATCACCATCATCAACTGCATCAGCACCATCAACAAGAGCAACAGCATCCGCATTCTGAGCATCATCATCGCCACCATGATTACTAGCATCAGCAGCATCAGCATCATCACCAACATCAGTATCAGCATGGCCATCATCATCATCATCATCATCATCATCATCATCATCATCATCATCATCATAATCATCATCATCATCGTCATCATCATCGTCGCCGCCGTCATCACCAGCAGCACCATTAGCATCACCCTTTGTCACCGCCATCAGCATAGTCATCATCCTTTCCTCATCCGCATCCTCCTCCTCTCCCTCCCCCTCCTGCCCGCCCTCCTCCCGTGCCTCCCTGTCCTCCCTGTCCTTGGCCCATCATCCTTCACGGTGGTGCGGTCGGAGATCGACCACCTCCCTCGACAATTAATGCTCCGCGGTCGGCCAACAGCCGACCCGACGCGCCAAATGCGCGCCGACGAGCGCGCGGCGCGGCGTTCAAGAAACCAGACAGGTAACCAGAGTATACCTGATATCACCCTCAAAGAAAGTACAACCGCCACCACATAACCAACCCCGTAAACGATAGAGACCAGCGATAGCAAGTGACCCACGGCATGGACAAACCCGCACGATAAAGACAAAACATGATGGACCCACGAACCCGGAAAGGGATAAAGACATGTGCAGCATGGTCACGTTTTCACGATACCCAACTGGGCGACATCTCACGAAACATCCCACGAGACACCCCGCGAAACATCCCACGAGACACCTCACGAAACATTCCACGAGACACCTCACGAAACATTCCACGAGACACCCCGTGAAACATTCCACGAGACACCCCACGAACAGGCAACCACTCAACCAGACACGCCACGAAACATTCCACGGGGGTGCGACTGGGTGTGGTCGTGCTGGGGTGTGGTCGTGCTGGGGTGTGGTCGTGCTGGGGGTGGTCGTGCTCGTGCTGGGGGGTGTGGTCGTGCTGGGGGGGTGGTCGTGCTGGGGCGTGGTCGTGCTGGGGCGTGGTCGTGCTGGGGCGTGGTCGTGCTGGGGTGTGGTCGTGCTGTGGTGAGGTCGTGCTGGGGTGTGGTCGTGCTGGGGTGTGGTCTTGCTGGGGTAGGGTCGTGCTGGGGTCAGGTCGTGCTGGGGTGTGGTCGTGCTGGGGTATGGTCGTGCTGGGGTGGGGTCGTGCTGGGGTGGGGTCGTGCTGGGGTCTGGTCGTGCTGGGGTGTGGTCGTGCTGGGGTATGGTCGTGCTAGGGTGGGGTCGTGCATTTCGCTCGAGACATCCTGCCAAAATTCCAGGAAATCGTACAAAAACAAACGAATTAGTCGAGACATCATCGAAATTCCTTCGCGCGGGGCGCTTTTCCGCGTCGCGGTCGGCTCTGCAAAACAAGCGTTTCGCTCGAGACATCCTCGGCAAACTCTGCGGAGCAAGCGTTTCGCTCGAGACATCCTCAACACACGAAAAAGTGGCCCGCACCCTGTGATTTATCGATCGGGATTTCAAAAACAAGCGTTTCGCTCGAGACATCCTCAAATTTTAATTTGCCGGCCTCCTTCGACCTCGATATTTATCAGGGAAAAAATCCGCCGGCCTCCTTCAAGTTGGCACCGGGGGACAGGTTTACCTACTAAAAGAGAACCCTGGGCCCGCGCCCTTTCCGGGAAAAAATCAATTTTGCCTTTTTTTCGCGAATTGCTTCCAGAAGCTCTCTCTGTCGATTCTAAGCAGCGTCGAAGGAGCTCTACGAGGTTCCATGCGGTGACCAGGTTGACGGTTCACCGCCGGCGCCGTTGGCAAGAACATGATGGACCCACGAACCCGGAAAGGGATATAGACATGTGGAGCATGGACACGTTTTCACGATACCCAACTGGGCAACACCTCACGAAACATCCCACGAGACACTTCACGAAACATCCCACGAGACACCTCACGAAACATTCCACGAGACACCTCACGAAACATTCCACGAGACACCCCGCGAAACATTCCACGAGACACCCCACGAAACATTCCACGACGACAGGCAACCACTCAACCAAGGCGGTGTGGTCGTGCTGGAGAGGTCGTGCTGGGGTGTGTGGTCGTGCTGGGGTGTGGTCGTGCTGGGGGGTGGTCGTGCTGGGGGGTGGTCGTGCTGGGGGGGTGGTCGTGCTGGGGGGTGGTCGTGCTGGGGCGTGGTCGTGCTGGGGCGTGGTCGTGCTGGGGCGTGGTCGTGCTGGGGTGTGGTCGTGCTGGGGGGTGGTCGTGCTGGGGTGGTGGTCGTGCTGGGGTGGGGTCCTGCTGGGGTGTGGTCGTGCTGGGGTGTGGTCGTGCTGGGGTGGGGTCGTGCTGGGGTGGGGTCGTGCTGGGGTGTGGTCGTTCTGGGGTGTGGTGCTGGGGTGTGGTCGTGCTGGGGTGGGGTCGTGCTGGGGTGGGGTCGTGCTGGGGTGTGGTCGTGCTGGGGTGTGGTCGTGCTGGGGTGTGGTCGTGCTGGGGCGTGGTCGTGCTGGGGTGGGGTCGTGCTGGGGTGGGGTCGTGCTGGGGTGTGGTCGTGCTGGGGTGGTCCGCACCCTGTGATTTATCGATCGGGTCGTGCTGGGGTGTGGTCGTGCTGGTGCTGGGGTGTGGTCGTGCTGGGGTGTGGTCGTGCTGGGGTGTGGTCGTGCTGGGGTGTGGTCGTGCTGGGGTGTGGTCGTGCTGGGGCGTGGTCGTGCTGGGCGTGGTCGTGCTGGGGTGTGGTCATGCTGGGGGTGTGGTCGTGCTGAGGTGTCCCGCACCCTGTGATTTATCGATCGGGATTTCAAAAACAAGCGTTTCGCCTGAGACTTCCTCAAATTTTAATCCGCCGGCCTCCTTCGACCTCGATATTTATCAGGGAAAAAATCCGCCGGCCTCCTTCAAGTTGGCACCGGGGGACAGGTTTACCTACTAAAAGAGAACCCTGGGCCGGCGCCCTTTCCGGGAAAAACTTCCACCACGATAAGCTCTGCAATCCAATAGAGATGCCCTCGCCCAGCAGGAAGGCCCACTCCACGGAAACACCTTCGCCACATGTCTTGAAGAACCGACGGATAGTAGTGATCTACGATTCGCGCCCTTCCCACTCCTGCACGCGCCTTTTTGTGCTTGAGAGCATTGCTATCACGCTCTGCCGAATGACAAGCACACTTGGTACAAGTCACTGCGCTGCATGCCCACGCCAGCGAAACGACGCGCCCATCGCCTTCCTCGGATCAACGCCCTCGTCGACCCCAGGGAACGCGCGCTCTGCCTCTGCGTTAAGCCCACGAAAGATACCAGCGCCATCCAACGCTCATCGGACGGCGCCCGCGCGCAAAAGCTTGAACTCGCGGCCCTTTTTGGCATTGAAGCACGCGCGCGCCCACGCGCGCGGCAACCCCGCGGGAACAATGGCGCCGTGCCCCCCAGCACAAGTTATCAAGATGCGCCGAGGCATTGGCCGTGAGTCCCATATCGCGGAATGTCCAGACCGCTCTGCGGCACCCCTGCACGCGCTTTTTGTTTCTCGCACTGGCCAAGCGAAC